TTCATTTAACTCATTATAGTCCAAATTTTCTACTCTGCATTAAGAATCACTTTTCTGGACCAGGGCTTTAGCTCAGTGGGACTGCGCCTGCCTCAAAAGCTCAAGGTCCTGAGTTCCATCCCCGGTACCAAAAAAAAAAAAAGAATCACCCAACCCCAAACATGTTGGTTGGCTCTCATACCTGTGTTAAGGAGAGCTTGACAACGGGTGGATGGATGGATGGATGGATGGATAGATAGATAAGCCTTAAGTACTTCTGAGGTAGAATTTTCCAAAGACCTTGAAAGCTCTGAGAAGCTGCAAATGATTAATTAGGGTTATACTTCAGCATTATTCTTATGTTCCAAAAAGAGAGATTGCTGAATTAAATGATCTTATTCCACATAGAGTAGGAATATTTGGTGATTCTGATGTATCACTAGGTTAAAAAAGAACTTTTCTACACACCCCCATCCATTTTTTTGACCCTGTAATATTCATTTCTGGGAAGTCTTAAGGAAAATAACCTAAATAGAAAAATCTTATGAAGAGAGATAGTCATCTATTTATAGTTAACAATAAACAGGGCTGGGGATTTAGCTCAGTGGTTCCCCTGATTGCCTTGCAAGCAGAAGGAACTGAGTTCAATCCCTGGTACCAAAAAAAAAAAATAAAAATAAAAATAAATGGAGATAACCAGGAGTTGGAGGATGGAATTGATGCAGCTGTTTAAAGTATTCTCATAATCTATGAAAAAAATTCCTATAGTGAGTTATGTATAAATTATACATACTGTGTTTGAAGCTATGTAAAAATACATAGAGCTGGACTGGGGATTTAGCTCAGTGGCACCGTGCCTGCCTCGCAAGCACAAGGTCCTGAGTTTGATCCCCGGTTCCAAAAAAAAAAAAAAAAACAAAAATACATAGAGCTAGGCACGGTGGCACATGCCTGTAATCCCAGCACTCTGGGAGGCTGAGGCAGGAGGATCCCAAGTTTGAGCCCAACCTAGGGAATTTAGCGATTTAGGGAGACCTTGTCTCAAAATAAAAACTAAAAAAAGGGCTGGGGATGTAGTTCAGTGCCAAGGCCCTAGGTTCAATCCCCAGTACCTCAGCCTCCCCCAAGAGTCTAAAAAGAAACTTGCCACTTTGCTTTATTTTCCAATGATTGTACGTTACCTTTTTTGGGGGGGGGGGTGAGGTACTAGGGATTGAACTCAGGACCTTCTGCTTTTGAGGCAGGCAGCGGAACCACTGAGCTAAATCCTCGGCCCCCTGTACATTACCTTTTTATAGTTGAAATGAAAGTAAACTTGAAAAAGAAAGCTATGGAATAAGATTATAATTTAATTCTAAGATGCTGTTTTATATGAGTAATTTTAAAAGAAGTTATTAAATGTGGAAAATGTCTTCTTCAGTTTAAAGATTATGACACAGCTTTATAAAACTCCTACTGATGGGGGCCTGAAATAACAAATATCAGTAAGTTTTGATACTTACAGAACATGTTTAAGAATGCACTAAAAAAAAAAAAGCGCTAATCTGTATTCAGGTTGTATCAGTTACCTGAGCTATGAGAAGTGTGTCATCTATTATAAATGCTTTCTCTTTTATAAAGAGAGCCGGGGTGGGCCAGGGATGTGCCTCAGCAGTGTAGCACCTGGCCCTGGGTTCAATTCCCAGTACCAAAAAAGCAAAGTGAAAAAAATAAAAAAATAGAGCTGGGGAGTGTAACTTTTAAGTGGTCATGGTAAAGACATAAAATAATTTTCTAAGTAGCTTTCAGTGTCTCAAAGTATCTTCTGTAACATTGATGGAATCATTGAAATATTCTTCAGGAATCAATAGTTGCCTTGTTTTAAACTGGCAGTATTTTGAGCACACATTTATGATGTTTTTTGTATGTAAATATGTACCTCTGTTTGGCCTATGAAGGAAAAAGCTTTGGGAAGATAGTAATTACTATCTTAAAATGCAGAAGAAAATTAAGCAATAAAGACTGTCAGAATATATACTAGGGTGCGGCAGTGCATGCCTGTGTACCAGCACTTGGGAGACTGAGGCAGGATTGTGAGTTCAGGGCCAGCCTGAACTACATAGGCACTGTCTCTAAAGCAATATTTTATTTCTTGAATGATAATACTTTCCTAAAACCCAACAAAGGGAGCTGTGTGAAACAGATATCCCTGTTTAGGGCCGGTAATTTAGCTCAGTGGTTCCGGTGCCTGCCTCACATGCGCAAGGTCCCAAGTTCGATCCCCGGTACCAAAAAAAAAAAAACATTTCTACCAAAAACTGTTTCCCCTCAGCTTTGATTACGGGCCTTGTAAAAACTCAGTGGCTCACTTTCCAAAACTCAAACTTTTAAAAAAATACATTTCTAGGGCTGGGAATTTAGCCTACCTCACATGCGCAAGGTCCCAAG